TTTTTTTTTAGAGGGGGAGAAAACGATGGTTCAGTGTTTGTTATGAGACCAGGGCAGTGTTACTGGTAGCCGTTACAATGAAAACCTGCTGACAGGCATCACCACCTGGGCACGTCACACATTCACAGAGCAGGAACCACCGGTCTGGACTGGCAGAATAGTGCAATTGCTTTGCAGCCCGAGTCTGCAGGTTAAAAAGGTCATTAGTAAAACCGACTAAAACTGCAAGACCTGTGAAAGTTACGTCTGTTAAAAGGCATTTACAGTAGTGAAGTCTAAAATCTCCATTAAAAAAATCTATGGCCCCACACAAGAGAACAATGACATCGAACTGGAGGAGTTTCGCCATACTACGCAGTCACTAAGCAGCGCGTGAGGACGGAGAATCACTCGTCACCATCAACTCATGGGGTGAGAAGGGAACCTAAAGACCATCGCTAGCAAAATATTCCATAGAAACCTTTCGTGCCAAGTGCTTTAAAAACGTCGGGGTGATCGGCCTTTTGCGCTTTGAGGTAAAAATTCAGTCCAATGCATCAGAAAAGACAGTCTATGAATTTCTATTACGTAAAAGAACGGAACGAATGGCTCAATTGTGTCGGTGCATCAGACATTGTTTGCAGTCCAGATTCAGTGCGACCGTTCAGAGCTGCTGGTAGGGGGCAGTCTGAAAGAAAGGGCCCTAGCTAGAGCAGTAGGCATTGAAAACACGTCAGGACTGAACGAGTTGTTGGCTTTGCCTCATCTTCCCAAACGCTCTCAAGCAAAATACATGGTATGTTGAGTATCGTGGTGGATCTGCACTGCCTTTGCCAGAGCCTGAGGATCACGGCCATTGCTCTGTCCTGACACGTGGCTGCCTTCAGCACTGTAAAAATGCAGACACATACAGACAACCGTGAACAGCTGAGCCTGCGATCCAGGTCCACTGTCTGGCTACCGAGACGGCGAGGTGCAGCCCCTTACCTGTCGTGATCCTTGTCCACAAGATGGTACCTAGCCCTAAATGCCACCAGTCTGGCATAGTATGCAGGTGCTGGAATAGAGACTGATCGCGTACAGCGCACGTAGGTGTGACACAGCTGATAGGTCAGCAGCTGCAGCTCATCTGCAGTGAAACAGTTGTCATCCCACAGGACCTGGTAGTGCGAGGGCCGGCTGGTTCCCTGTGGAGAAGAGACAACAGTTCAGCCAGAGAGCATCAGTAAAATCACAGGAGGTATCTGAACGCTGCTCCTTCTAGCAGTACTTAAGTGCAAGCGCCAAGCAGGCACTCACCAAACTGCTGCAACTGTAAATGTGCCAAACTAGAAATGAAAGCAACATCAACTCATCGGGACAGGGTCAGGATTCAGCCCCACAGCCTGAGCACGGCAGAGCTGCAGCATTACCTGAATTCCCGCGTGGCTGCAGAGGTAAAAGTCAAATTCAGAGGGATGCGTGATGGTGCTGTCCACAGTGGTGCCCGCTGGTACGTTGCCACTCTTACCCACCTAACGTGGAAAGTTCATTATTAGCCCGTGGGGTTTTTGGTTGGTTTTTTTTTTTCCTTCCTTTAGAAGTGATCCAAAAATACCTCCTCAGGTAGGCGCTACTCACAGCTGGCTGAGAATTTATAGCTGAATGATGTGGGGAAATTTAGGTAACTTACATAGGAGGAATGAAAATGTTCTCTGTGGGTTCATTGTTAGGAGCTTCGCCAAATCCAGTTGGTGCATGACCAGAGAAAAATGAAATTCTTGCCAGCACCATTAAAATTGCAGAGTGGAATAAAGTATTTTAGAATAGGAAAAGATGCAGGCTTTCTGAAACAGGCTTCACGCCCTTGTTTGCAATCACACCCCACAGATGCATCTTCTTCTAGCAAACACAAGATGAAGACATTTCCAAAAAAGGTTCCTTAGTTGGCTCACGGATTTGTGACACAGGCAAACCTTACAGATGCATCTAAAACAGGACAGACAACTGACTGAGCAATGAGCTCGTGTTGGGAATCAAAAGGCTACAAAAATCAGGTTACAGCTCCAGAGATACTGAGTGTGCTCACTCCAAAAGGGGCTGGGAACAAACTGTCTGATGTAGAGCAGTAAAAAGCAGGAGGAACCAGCTATTTTGGTCTCACAGAAAAGCCTGCTCCAGCACAGAACTGCTTCTGTTTGTACAAATCAGTTCACTGCCAGTGGGTGAGATGGATTCCACCCCATCAGCCAAACACCTACGTTCCCATTCACGTCCCCATCACCTCCTTACTGAAGAACCCAACAATACTTGCCCTTTCAGTTTTGTCAGCACAGAACAGCCTGGTGTGATGCCTTTTCTGCACAACAATGTAGGTTATTCCTGGTCTGTAGTCTTCTTCCAAACTAATACAGGCCTTTCGGATTGCTATAAGTTCTGGCCAAGCTACCTGGACACAGAAGATGTAACAATTAGTACATGCAGTATTTTTCTTTCCAGATATAAATGCCACTTCACAAGGAGCACAGTCAGCCAGGATAACTTTACCTTCTGTCTAGGCAGGAAAACAAAACGTAACTGCAAACTGCATCCCACACATGCAGCATCAAGGCCAACCCCTTCACAGGCACCAAATCATCAGACAGTACCTGCTTCATCTGCCCTTCTGACACTCCTCCTCTGTAGTAAATGATTCTCGTGGGCTTGAAACGCGTGGACTTGTAGAACTGTATCAGCAGCTCCCGCACCATGTTTGTCAGGTCCTGGATCACCTCCTGGCTGTACAGCAGCTCCTGCGAGGTCTCCTGGCGGGAGGTCTGCACCCGCACCGTGGCGCAGTACCGGCTGGGATGGCCGTCCATGCTGCCCACCACAGCAGCTATGGAAGGCTTCTTTCCATCCCCAGCAGGAGGGTGAGTGACATCTGCTCCCAGAAAGATCACGGGCTGCTGGAACACTGAGGGCCTGTTTGATACGATTGAGGTTTATTTAATAATAATGTAAAGAAGGGGGATGAGGAAGGAGAAAAAGACAACCGAGGAAGGCATATCCAAGAACCATTCCAGGTCTTTAAAGATGAAGGTGTCTGCCTCAATCTATTCCAGACAAAACAGAAAGCGAAAGCAAAAAAAGAAGGATCAAAGGCAGACAAACACACAAGCATTTACCACACCTCAACGTCTCATTCCTCTTCCAGTTTGGAAGGAAATACAGTATGGTCATGGAAGTGGCGAGAGGAAAAGGCAGACTGAAGACAGGAAAAGGCAAGAAAATGCCCTTTTCAGTCTGCAGGTATTTCTAATGAACTCATTATTTTGAAAGGCAGCAAAACAGACTGCCAGAATTTTGTTTGATAATTCAGACTTCAAGGAAAGCACTAAATCTCATCTTACCTTTGATGAGGTACGAGCACATTGTTGATTCCTCCGAGCTTTGCATTTATTTTCAGACACAGGTTGGACAGCGTTTGTGGTGAGGTTTTCACCACGTTCTTTACCTGAACGCACTGAGTGGCCATGCCAAGAAGAGTGTCACCAACCCGCTTTACTTCAGCTGTGACAGAAAACAGGACAATGGATCCAGTTACACAAAGCCATCAGTTCCACCATCTTCCTCTTATTTTTCCCCAGGTGTCACACTGGGTCAAACCCTTAAGGGCTCGCTGACAAAGTCTCAGCCTGCTCTTCAGGAATGCACAAGCACTTTGTACCTTTCCAAAGGGCATGTGGTGAGAGGACAAGGGAAAACGGTTTCAGACTTAAAAAGGGGAGATTTAGGTTGGATATGAGGAAGGTTCTTCTATGCTGAGTGTGGGGAGGCACTGGAGCACGCTGCCCAGAGGTGTGGTGGATGCTCTGCCCCTGGGGACGTTCAGGGCCATGGTCTGAGCAACCTGACTGAACTATGGATGCTGCTGCTCACTGCAGGGGAGCTGGACCTTCAAAGGTCTCTTCCAACTCTAAACTACGATTCTACCCCACTGAGGACTGATAATCCTATCTCCAAAATACAATTAGAGCATTGTATATACAATACAAAAGGCATTGCCTGCTTTGTCTCCCTCCTACCAATGAATGCATGATGAGATGCCCGCTTGCCACGCAACTCCTTAACACTTCACAGCTTCCACATACCATACACGGGTGTCTTGCCGGGTAGAATCACCACAATCAGCTGCAGGCCAACATAAGTCAGTTTTAGATGTTTAAACATGGGCTCCACACTGTCTGCACCCTGGGCATATTTACAGAAACAGGGCTGGCCCTGGATCGGCATCCCTGCGTCCTTGGAGATCTTACGCAGCTGGTCTGTAAAACTCCTGTGAATAAAACACAAGTGGATGCAGCCTGGTCTTTTCACCACCTTCCACTTTCCTGTTAATTCTACTGATCACATTCTATCAATTATAAGTAGTTCAGATTTCGGAATAAAAGATCATCATCAGTTCTCTGTAAAAACAGCATTAGACAGAATCTGAATGCAGTCTCCACAACCTGAAATGTAACCTCAGTGGTAAGGGAATTGCTGCTCTCCTGGCCAGCCAATTCAGTTATGAACTTTGTTTAAGCCTCCTCCCAAGCAGCACACATTTAAGGCACTGCAGAACTATCATCTCCTCTTTTTACTGTTAGATGCATCATTAACTTACACTGCATATCATCTTTCAAAAATATGAGGAAAATAAACCCTGAAACAGGTATCCTGAATAAAGAGGAAAATACTTACTTTAGTAAGTCTTCCCTGCATTGTTTTTGAGGAGCAAAACAGGCAACAGCCCAAACTTTAATCTCAATGCCAGCATAGAACTGTTTCCCTCTCATGTCCCACACACCTTGGTTTGGTGTGGCCACAGTCTTGTTCTAGGTAAAAACCAAAGGCAAATTAAAAATAAAATGCTGCCTGGTTTTGTCTACAGCCAACCAGAGTTCATACAAAAGCAATCCTTGTGAGAAGATAACATGGAACCTTTAATGAATTTCAGCACCCTCAGAACAAGGTATTTCACAAGACCTGGAAGACTCACCCTGCCTCCATATTGCAGCATTGGCGCTGGCAAAACTCTGCCTGTCAACTCAGTCATTTCATTATGGACAACAATACCAAACTCCTTCAGATATGGATCAGGTCCACCAACCATACTGTTACTTTTCACCTGGTGACAAGAGAAGTATCTGTGTAACTGCACCTAGCGTTTCAGCTGGCTCTGTCTTCTTTGCAACAGCTTTTCTGTTTAAAAGGATTTACTTTACAGAAGTCAGAGTTTTTGATCTTCTGCAATTCTTGGCTCATCTGGTTATCATTACATATGCACCAGTGCTTCTCAAAGTCACGCTCACAGACGCAGGCTGTCAGCTCAAAGCTGCACTTACGAGTCTGCTGATTTCTTCCTGCCGGTCCGGCGCCGATCTCGCAGTCGCTTTTATCATGGTTGATGTCTGATTGTCTGTGAGCTTCTTGATGCACCTCTGGCCTGCCACGATGTTACACACCTGCACAGGAACAGTGAACAGTGGCACCACAGCATTTAACAAAGGACAACACAATGCAAGAGCAAGTCAGGTCCTCACCTCAAGCGGTAGGTACGTGTGTTTCTGCTCCTGTCCTACTTGCAGACAGGGAAGATGAGGATATTTTAGCTGCAGACTGTACTTCTGCTTAAAATACTGAGCTACTGTACACTCCATAGCCTGCCCGTTTTCCAACTGCAGGGGAAACCTACGAAGGATATTTGCTCTGGTTAGTTTGTTGTTGTTGTTTTAGATCTTGAAAGGGGAAAAGAAGAGCGGAAAGTTAATCCAGAGTAGAAATGCTTAAAACAATTATTTTCCTTAGCTCCTGGATTTCTCCTTAATGATAGCATTTCAATCCATCAGAGCTATTTATAAAGTTATAGTCTTTGATAACTCTTCTATTCTCTTGTTCTGATGGAAATAAAGCAGGTGCCTAAATCCACATTACTTCTCTGCCCTGTTAAGGCTGAACGCGCTTTCAAATCCACACAGCTCTTTCCCCTTCAGAATCAACTTTTCTTGTACAAATAACAAATCAAAACGATCCAAGATCTTAAAACTCATCACAAAGTGCTGGCATACGTACGTCTGGTGACTGGCTGGTCGACGAGTAACATTGCAAACTCGGTATTTTCTCTTCATCTGGCCACAGTGAGTAACCTCTACTTTCAGACCTGGAAACCCAAAATAAAAATCACCTAAATAGAATCAGACATGGGAATCACTTTTGGGAAAGATGAGAGCAAACAGGAAAGGTCAACTTCCCAAGTGCCTCGTAAATTCTCACTACAACAACAATAAATTGACAGCATTTCGATGCAGTGGCTTTAGAACAAGCCTTTACCTCTGATTTCTTTGGTAAACTTGACACGCTGGGAGTCTGTCAGAGGCTTGGTTTGTTCATTGATGTTCTGAATGTCCAAGACCTCACACATGAACTCAATGATAGGCTGAGCACGATAGAAAGCAGTTGCTGATACTACAATAAAAGAAGAGGATATTTAATTCAGAAGCAGCACAAACTCCATTACATTAATGAGACTCAACTGCCTACATACCATCAATGTTGAGCATCATGTTCCACATGGCAGGTCTGACAGACTGGTGGAAACCAAACCAGACCTCCCTGCCACCCCCCAGAGGGTGGTAATAGCCTTCAGGGGGGGAGAAGAAGGAGCGACCCACAGGAGTATACCTGAAAAAGGGAATAATTCATTTGAGCATCCCTTTCCAACAGACTTTCCTCAAGTTGGGTGTTTGAAACACGCTTCTGTGGCACACCAGAACTTTAGAGCTAACTCGTGACAAGCATATAAAAGCCGAGCAGAGCAGTTGGAAAGCCTACAGCAAATTCCAGTTGGAAACACGACCAGCAGATACAAGTCTTGAGTTCAGATCAAATATCCCTATTCTAGTGCAGATTTGTAATGCAGGTGTTGAATTACACAACAGCTTCCCTCAACCCTTCTGCAGTACGAAGGGGTAACAGCAGAACAGCAGCTAACAGAAACGTAAGACAGAGACAAGACTGACCAGTTCTGCAGACACCTCAAGTACCCACCTCATGGAGGGAAGGTGCCGGGTAATTACATCCAGTGCCTGCACAGAATCCTCAGGAACTTCGTTCAAATGCCCTGCCAGAGCTTCCAACAGCATCTGAAGGCTGACGACTGACACCCACTGAATGGACACTTTAAAAGTCTGGTCCTTCCCCTCTCCTGGAAGCGTCACCTCCATATCCACCTTCCAGATAAAGCCAAGCAGAAGCTTTTGTTAAGGACTGCAGCAGACTTCCATAACATTATGTTACACTGCTAAGCAACGTTATAACAACAACACCACCACCCACTGCCAATAAAAACACTTCCAATGGCACCCTGGCAGTTTCCTGCACAAGGTTTGAGCTGCTCACAGTAACACTCACTCTGTCCCTGCCGATGGGTAACGGGTGTGCAGTGTACATGTTCCTCTTCCCATCGTATCCAGGCTGCCGGTCACCAAATATCTGCATCTTGAAGTGCCTCACCATAGTATCCACCACCTCCCTGCAGAGGGATGTAGCAAGTTAGGTCAGAGAACAGGAAAATCCAGCAATGGTCTGATGTGGTTTCAAATGCCTTTTCTATGTTTTCATAACGGATCAAGGTAGGAGAAGTTACAGTGCACCAAAACACACTGTTAGTCTCTGCTGCTGACTGTTGTAAGTCACCTCCAGGTTCAGACCCTGAAGTGTCAATATCAATATGCAAGGCACTTGTCCAAACTCTCTGATGTCAGAAGAGATGCACTCAGTACAGGCAGCGCCATCTGAAGAACTGTTCACCAACAGGTACAAGCATCTGCCCTGGGGTGAGCTGGGGTGCTCTTCATTGGGGCTCTACTGATAGGCACCAACACCTAAAACACTCCTATCAATGTACGAGCACAACTCCCTCACCTCAGCTGCTAACAGACATCTTTGTATAACAGATGACACAACTGTGTCATGACCATGAAGCAGATCCTACCTGTTCACTCTTCGGGGTCGTTTTTCTGGTTTGATATCCACATCATAGTGATAAACGTCGATCTTAGGGATCTGCACCTGGAAATGGTTGGCCAGGAGGCGGATGGGCTTCCCAACAGTTCCCAGGCCTGGGCGACGGGGGGGCTGGAAAAGGCTTGTTGGGGGCCCTGCAAAGTCAAACAAATACAGAAGAGAACTGTCACTCAGTGCAGCATCTTTTCAGGTGTATTCAGCTGGAACGTCCTTCTGGCATGGTGGAAAGGAACCTTAAAGGGCTCCCCACGCCTGCAGACGGAGCATTCCAAGCGGCCCACGGCCTCCCAGCAGCTCTCAACTTCCAAGTGGAAAACGTGCTCCCTAAAGCACGTGTGTGTAGGTTAATGCCACAATTCACTCTCTGAATTGTAGTGACATTTATCCAAAACTGTGGTTTATGAACTCAACAGAGTCCCCAGATGGAACCTACACATTTATATATTATCTATTCTTATATAAGGAAAGATAACTGTACTACTAACATCATTTCTAGAACCAGCCAAAAGCTGCATCTTTTCATTATGGGCTTAAACTTCAGATGAAATACATTCCCAATCTCTACCTGAAAGTTGCTGTAATCTAGAAATGAGTAAGATAGATCTTTTACTCTAATCCAAACTTAAGACATATCTCCACATTGGATCCAGGCTAAAAAACCAGTTGGGTTGTTTCCCTCACATCATGAACACATCGCTTCTATTAACAATGAAACACTTCTGCCCTGGAGCAGAATTCCACCCAATTTCAAGTTCTAACACAATGAAAGGAATGAGGTATGGCTTAGGCTTTCTTCTGAAGAGCAATGGAGCAAGCATACAGACAGGTACAGACTCCTAACACGTGTGGAGAAGGTAATTTATTTGGGCAAAGGTAATGGCTGCAGAAGGAGTTCAAAGGAAGAAATCAGGAGAGGCTTAAAAAGGCACTCCCTGCAAGCTGGTCACTGGGTAAGGCTTCAGGTAAATTCCTCGAAGTGCTAAGATCTGAGATACCATATTAACAAGATTAAACACTTTCTGTTGTTGTTCAATCTATCACAACCCACACTGCATTTAAAGCAGAGTTGATCTTTTCATGGCTTTTGTCTCTATCTGCCAGCACGCAGTGTGATCAGTGTTTCTTCCCTCTGTTCTTGAGCAGCAAAGCAGAGTGAAAAAGCAGCAATGAAGTAACAATAAAACTAAGGGCAAGTTCAGTATCAAAAGTGTCAACCTGCCAGTATCCATTTAAATCAAGGGCTCAGAGCTTATAGCAGAAGAGAAGAGAAGCAGATAAGCCGTAGGAGGATGAAGCTCATATTTGGGTACACCTCAGTGTGCAACAATAAGCTTAACACAATCCTGAACTACAGCTAAGACCAAATGAAAGGAGCCTTCTGCACTCGGGTTTATAAGCCAAGCGATGGCCATCACACTGAAATTCCACCCGAGGGCACCGACCTCAGAACGGCTGGAAGCAGAATGGCTCAGAGCAGCTGGAGCCCACTGACACATCCGTGCCAAAGCTGCTGCAGCACTGTGGCTGTTTGGGTGCAGACGTCCCACACGATGCATTGCTGGCTCTGCACCTGCATAAGTAATTGCCACCAGGCCAGGAGCACAGTTGAACTGCTCCTAGGGAGCACTCAGCACCTCAAAAAGCTACAGCTATCTCGACAAGTGTGAATCATCAAGGGCAATCAAAGTTTGCAGTGCTTATTTGGATACGGGAGAGATGATCCATTAATCCTGCGCTAATTAGCCTGAAGTAAGTGCAAGCACTGACCTCCCACAAGAGATTAAATGACAACTATATTTACCCATTTTCCTGCCTCGTATTGACAAGTTCTGTGGGCAGACATGGCTGTCAGGAGGTCAGCACTGACTAAAGGAAGTGCAACCTTCTCCTTTCTAGAGTTACTTCTCAAAGGATTCTGGAGAATAAGCTAAAAGCCTCCTTGCAGACCACCTTGATTTTATTGGGATTTCTGCCCCATCAGCCTGATGAGGTTCATATGCACTATTTCTCTTCATTTCTTCCACTGTGTGACATTTACAGGCTCTGACACCTCAAGATGTTACTTCAGACAGGAAGTACTCTACAGAGCCAAAAGAGGATCCTGCAGTGCAGGCAGCTGGTGTGGACACACTGCACGGTGCAGCTGCAGAGCAGACTGTCAGAAACCTCCGCTATCTTAACAGCAGAGTTCACAGTGGCAGGGCTCTGCTTTGCAGGGGGTTGGACTCGACAGTCTCTGGAGGTCCTTCCTAACCCCTACAATTATCACAGAATGGCCTGGGTTGCAAAGGAGCACAGTGCTCATCCAGTTCCAACCCCCTGCTGTGTGCAGGTCACCAACCAGCAGACCAGGCTGCCCAGAGCCACATCCAGCCTGGCCTTGAATGCCTGCAGGGATGGGGCATCCACAGCCTCCTCGGGCAACCTGTTCCAGTGCTTCACCACCCTCTGGGTGAAAAACTTCCTCCTAATATCCAACCTAAACCTCCTCTGTCTCAGTTTAAAGCCATTCCCCCTTGTCCTGTCACCATCCACCCTTACAAACAGCCGTTCCCCTCCTGTTTATCTGCTCCCTTCAAGTACTGGATGGCCACCACGAGGTCTCCCCGGAGCCTTTCAGCTCTACACTAAACAAGCCCAGTTCCCTCGGTGTCAATAAACGTTTCATATTTCAACGAAATTAACAATTACCCCAATAACTGCACCAAGATAAGTCACACTTCAGTAAAGAAACACAAGTGGGAAAACACCCCATGCAGAACAGCACCAGCGTTCAGCCAAAGGCTGCGGACCGACACAACACCCGGCACGGCCCACCTCAGCCTCACAGCCGCCCACCCCCAAGGACGCGCCGCGCCCCACTGACAGCTCAGCCCCGCAAACTTCCCGCGGACTTGGCGGCCCGTTCCACGCCGATCCTTTCCGTTCGCAGCGCTCCCTGCGCTCCCCGCGGCCCAGCGGCCTGCAGCGGCTCCCGGGCCCGGCCGCGCCGGCGCAGCCACCGTCCGAGCGGCACCGTGCCGCGGCCTCCGCTTCCTTCTCCTCGTCCCCGCGCTCGCACGGCCCCGTAGGGCCTCGTCCAACCCCCGCCCCGCCCGCGTCTCTCACCGGGTCCCAGTGCTTCCATGGCGGCGGCAGCGGCGGCGGCCTCGCTGCGGTCTCCCCCGGCCCCGCCGGCCGCCCCGGGCCCCGCCGCCGCCGCCGCCGCCGC